ACCAGCTATAATCGAACCGTTGACCTCGTCTGTGGAGGATTAGGCGCCTAGACCACTAGGTTATGGGACCCTAACCCACTAATAAAAAATTAAAACTTGTTTTAAGAGTAAAAATTTTTTTATAAGTAAAAAACATGTAAAATTTAAAAAAATTCAAAAAAAGAAATTATATAGTAAAAATTTCAATACTAAAACTTTAAACATTTATTATATTAAAGTTTTTTAATAATTTTAAAAAATTTTCTTAATAAAGCTAATAAAAACAAATCTTAAATTAAATATTTTACTTAAAAAATATATAGCTAAAATTAATATTTAAAATTTTATTAAAAAAAAAATTTTAAAATTTAAAAAATTTGCAAACAGCAAATACAATTATGGTTTATAAAAATATAGTAGAGATCAGAATGGTCTAGCAAAATCAAATAGCTTACCATATAACCAAGCTAAGAAAAATACTAAACAATAACAATAAAATAGACAAGATAATATGGATTAGAATATAATAAACCCAAATCGATTGCAAAAGTACACAATACATATTAGAGCTAGAAACTAAAAGACTTAAAAAGATTCAACTAAAACAGAATCTAGCATACAAAATCCTAGTTACAGCAAGAAGTTGAATTTAAGTATAAGGTTAATTAAAATTGAAGATAACTTAAAGCTTATAGAGTTAGGTATAGAAATCATAAACCTCCTAAATGACAAGAAAATTAAAAGATTTGCACAAGAAAAAAAAATAAAAATTGTAGTTTTAGAACAATTATTAAACAAAGAAAGTGCGAATCTGCTTACATGAAACCAGATCAAAAGTGTAAAAGGATAAAAGCAACTGGAAAACCTCCCAACTGGTTTAAAAAAATTGAAGAAACAGTCTTTGAAGATCTTAAAAGAAGAAAAGTTAGACCCAACTTGAGAAAAAGAACACCAAACTACCTAACATCCTGAGTAAATACCCCTCTAATAAGTAATAACAAAAGAAGAAAAGAATAGGTACTGATTAGATCTGGCAATACAGTAGAGATAAGAAAGATAGTAAAAAAAGAGAGAGAAAAAAACAGTTATAACAGAATATTGGAAGACAACTCCTGATTCTTACAAGAATGCACTCATACTTACCAAATATAAAAGATACAATATAGACGAAGCAGAAAGCAGCAAAGCAGACTCTGCTTGTACAATAAGAAGTTAGAAAAGCAATATACTAATAATCAGCCCAAGATTTATTCAGAAAATTTACTCTTAAGATGAAAGACGAGAACTTTGTATCATGCTAAGCTGCTTTATAAGTCCATATTAGCAAACAGGCCTATCTTCAAGTAAAGAAGAGGGTACTTATAAGTGACAAGTTAAAAGTATTACAATTTACTCAATAGAGGATGAGGTAATAGATCAAGCCAGTAAAAACACACAAATAGCAGAGAAAATAAAAAAAGTAGTAGCCAAGCTAAAAAGTGAAAAAAAGATTTTTTTTATACAAATGGGTTTTTACTTAATTCAACAGATAAAGCAGAAAAAAAGAAAATAGATCTTGGCTAGGTTGCGGTCTTAGGAAAAGGAAATAAAGTCAGCAAACAAGTACTAGCATGGGTCTAAGCTACTCATGAGTACCCTTAGAGTAGTACCATAATAGACGGGCCAGGGTATAAATTATAAATCCTTAAAAGGAAATAGGGCTTGCATGGGCTTGAATATTAGTACTCTAATAGAGCTTGAATCTTACTATTACCCAGCCCTGGGTATCAAAGAGTACCTGTCATTGTACTACAAAAATCTCATGAGTGTGAAACTTACCTTTAATTGGCTAAAATTTTATACAGAGGATAAATCAGTTAGATTAGATTTTGACTTCAGATATAAAAGAAAAAAAGGAGATAATTTTTTTTTCTCAAAAAAAATATTGCATAACTAGTAGAGAGGTTGTAATAAAGGCGTAGGCTGCAAATTAACCTAATGAATGAATATATAGTATAAGTAAAAAAAAAACTAAAATACAATAAAAAAAAAAAAAAGTAAAAAAATTTATTGTAAGTAAAATGAATAGGCCAATTTTAATTAAGCCTTTACATAAGTTAAGTTTTACTAACTAGTGTATAACACATTTTTGCCTAATAAGAACTGTACATACAATAGAAGTTCAAAACATAATCTCTACTGATGCAATAAACATTCAAAATGTAATCTTCACTAACTCTGCGACTTCATTACTCATATTGGTCTCCCCTGTTTCTGACAACACTACCAATGCCACGGGTTTAACAACTTCTTCAAAAAATGTTTCAGCAGTTTGGGAACACTTTACTATATTATCAAAAGAATCAAAGGCAAAATGCGATCATTGCAGAAGTCTTTTAGCCTATAAAAAAGGCACCGGAATATCACATCTCTGGCGCCATCTCAAATCTTGTACTAAATATAAAAGAAATAACTCATGTAATGAACTATCAAATGGCCAAACCCACTTGAATTTTTCTGTTTTAACCAAATGCCAACATATACAAAACCTGAATTGAAAGGACCTAGTGGATATAATAATTCAAGATAAATTATGTTTTCAGTTTGTTGAAAAAGCTGGCTTTCATAAATTTTTAAGTTCAGTTTTACCTTGCTTTTCTATGAGTGCTGATACTGTAAAGTGAGATGTTATAAAAGGATAGACGAAAGGAAAAACTTAATAAGAACATTTCTTCAAAATGCCGAAAGCAAAATCTCTCTTACTTGTGATGTGTGAATGTCTCTTTAGCAACTAGATTATTTGGCAATTACTGCTCATTTTTTGGATAAAAAATAGAACCTTGTATCTCTTTTAATATCATTTCAACTAATCCTCTATCCTCATACTGGTACCAATATTACAAATTGTATTAAAGCTGTAACCAACAAATATTTAATTACTACAAAGGTATATAATTATATATGATTTTAAAATCATTTGATATATATTAATAATATTATATATTTATAGTTGCAAACTATTACCCTTGATAATGCAAGTTCGAATAATACTGCAATTCGCGAATTTATTGATTCTGCTTTGCAGGATTCAATTACTATCAAAAAAGAACTTTTTCATAATTGCTGTCTTGCTCACATTTTAAACCTTATTGTAAAAGATGGATTAAAAAAAATTTCTGAGTTGATTGTAAAGGTATTTATTTTATATATTTAATTAATTTTAGATAATAATCTAATAAAATTTTTATAGATTTGTAGCTATATTATACAATACTGAGGCGATATCAAATGTTTTTAGATCTTTGTATATGAGTTTATCAAAGTTATAATCCCACTTTTAGCTTGCAAAATAAAGTGGAACTCTACATTCATCATGCTGCAATTAGCAATAAAAATAAAGGATATAATTATTAGAATGAATAATCGAGATAAAACTTTTTCTGATATACCTGATGAGGAAAAGTAGAGAAGGGCCGAGATTCTTTGTACCGTTTTAAAACTATTCTATGAGTGTAAGTTATGGATTTTAGTGTTATTTTAATTAATCACTAATGTGATCAAAAAAATTTGTATATAATATATTTTTTAAATTTGTATATTTAAATTTATATTTTAAGAACAAAATATAGTCTAGTAATTTAATTTATTCTAATTAAATATTGTATTTTAATAAAAAAATCAGGTACTTTAAAAGCATCTGCTACTTCCTATCTGACAATTAACAATACACTTACCTCTATTTTAAGCATTTGTATTTATCTTTTTAAGATAAAATTCTATTTGGACAACTTTGTTCGTGATACTTACTGACCCATGATAGAAAAATTTAGTAAATACTGGGAAAACTGTAATCTATTATATATAGTTGTATGTATTCTCAATCTTTGTTATAAAATACAGTTTATTTTATTTTATTACCATGAAAAAGAAAAGTAAGGAATAAACAATGTCGATAATAAAATACATGATATCTAAATAAAGTATATATACAATATAATTTAATATAAATTTAAATTTATCTTATTAACATTTTAATAATTTAGGTTCAAAGATCTTTATCTTGCATATTACTTTCTATTGGATTACTTTACTTTCTATTAGATGTATTAGAAATTGAATAGTATGTAACAAATAGTGAAGATAGTAGTATTGTATCATCATTCGAAAGTCAACTTGATGATTTTTTCGAATATTTTAAAAAAGCCCAAACTAGTCAACCCGATTCGCTTCAGGAAGTCAAGCAGTATCTTGATGAAAATATTGTTAATAAGACTACTAATGTTCTTGAATGGTGGAGGCTTAATAAAAGCCAATTTTCTAATTTATCTGCAATAGTTCAGGATATTCTAGCCATACTAGCAACAAGCATTGCGTCTGAGCAGATGTTTAGTTGTGCTGATTGTATTATTGATGATAAATGCACTTCCTTAAATTCAAGTACAATAACTGCATTAATGTACTAATGAAATTGGCTAGAAGTGTTAGCTAAGTTTGGATGGGATTTATAATTACGTAACTAACGTTTCAATCTCAATTTTATATTTTAATTGCTTTTATATTTGCTTAATAAAATTAAAAGTAGTTTTTGCATTATTAATTGGGCTAATTGGATGATAATCGGGCAAAATTTTTGAATTCCATTAAACAATCGCTAATAATGCGACTTATATTTATAATAACATCAGTGATACAACTATTTAATTGCTGCTAATTTTTCAATTTTTAAGTAAAAGTATTAAGAAATTGTTAGAATCAATGATTAATCAATTTAATTTATATTTAATACTACATTAATTATTTATTTAATTTATTGTGATTTCGATTGCTTGAATGATGCAATTGTTTAATTGTGAAGCGATCATGATAATTATTACTCAAGCGATTAAAGTCTTCAAAATTTTGATCATAAAAAATTTAGAATTTTGTTGGATTAATATAAAAAAATACAACGTTTGCCAAAAGTACTTTTCAAATTTTATCACCAGATATATGAATTTTTAATTCAGAATTTTAAAACAGAAATTTGGATCATTATTTTCAAAGTGATCAAAATTTTTAAATTAGATGATACGTTTTTATAATTGATACTTAATACAGGCCCATGGGTAAGTTATAGATACCCTTGGCTCACATGAGCCGGGTCAAAGCATTCAGTTTAGAGATTTAGAGTAGGGTTAGAGCATGAATATTAAGAACTATTACACAGACGGGTAGGGTTAGGGTACAGATACTACCTAGCTTTACCCGTTTTATGCAGAGGCCTAGTACTAGTCAACTTTCACAGGGCAATAAAAGATTGGCTATTATTAACAAGAACAGAACTCAGTGCAATATAAACAGCCCTCTTAGCAGCTCCATGCAAGACCAAAATCAAGATCTATATTGATAATGTAGCAGCAATACAGGCAGTACAAGTAAGTCAAAAAGAGAAAAAAGCTTTCAAGATATTAAAAAGAAAAACCTCTGTCTATTGGAGCAAATATAGTGAACTGTTGATTTAAAAAAGCTTAAAATCTGGTTTAAGAAAGTAAAAGCACATTGTGAGATAAAAAAAAATGAGAAAGCAAACAAGCTTGCAAAAAAGAAAGCTTATAGTACAGAAATAATCAACTCTAGATGGCTGTGGAACAAACATGTAGCAACAGAATTAAGTAGTGTTCAAAAATAAGCTGACTTATTATGGCTTGCTGTAGCTTACTATAGCTTATTATATGATAAACTCAAATTTATTATATGATAAGCTGCAGCAAGCTGTAATAAGCTGGCTTATCTTTGAATACTAGAGTTAAGATGAAAAGATTTGAAAGTAGATAACTTAATACAAAGCTTCATTACACAACTAACAGAGGCCATTATCAATATAAAGTAAAAAAATCTAAAAAGCATAATTAAATAAGTTGATATTGAGCAAGAAACTGAAGCAATCATGTGGTATAAAGTATAGAAAGACATAGGGCAAGTATGAGGAAAAAACTGCAAAAGCACAACCCAAAACAAAGAATGAATCTTTAAGATAAAATATCTAAACAGCCTGCTCTCAGCAATGCAAGTTCTAAATATGAGAAAGACAGAGCTATACTCAGACAATATATACAAGATATATTAGCAGAAAGCTGAAACACAAGACCATCTTGCTGCCTGCCAGAATTTTAGAAAATGTAGCACATTTTAGAAGAAGATGTAAGCGAATTACTTATAGAAAAGATAACAAAAGAAAAAGAGAAGCTCAAGACTATAGATATACAAAAAATATAAGATTTAATCTTCAGCAAGGGTATATAGGAAAGAATCTTGGCAAAAATTAAGCTAATGAAGAAGTTAATTACAAAAAAGAGACAAGAGAATATAAGCATGATCATAAGTGAAGCAAGAAAGGTTAGCAAGTTCGTACAAGCTATACTCAACCACTTCTAGCGCTAGTTTTTTAAGCACTTTTGAAGCTTTCAATATGAGTTAGTAACAGATTAAGAAAAGCATAATGGTATAACCAAAAAGAAGAAAAGAGAAAAGGCTAAAAAAAGAAGGTTCAAAAGGAAAAATGAAGTGGACAAAGAGAATATTGATTCTTAGGCCACCAACCACGAGAAAGAAAGGTCAAGAGAAAATAATAGTAAAAAGAGAAGGGAAAAAATAGAGATATTAGAAGAAAGGGACAGAATAATTGAAAATTAGGTCTTATGAAAAAAAAAGCCAGCATGGTCCTTGCTGGCTAAGATCTAACAAAAACAATAAGTATTTTTGACAAGACATATGACAGCCTACTTATGATCAAGGGAGGTACAGTCATGATACAAAATCTTTAGTAAGTTAAGAATCCCAAGAGAGGTAAACAGTTGTTATAGCAGATTGTATTAGGTATTCAATCTGGTGAGTCTTTATTGAGTTAGAGTAACAAGTTGTAAAGATTTAATACATTTGTATATAAATTATATAACAGTTTACATGAATAAAGGCAGAATCGTTTATAAAAAAATAAAAAAGTTACCATTTTTTATATAAACTACAATATTATCCCTTAAATTGTAACACAGGCAAATTTGCCTGTGTTTTTATTAAAAAGTTTAATTTTTTTAATAAAAAC